GGGGTCCGCACCCCATAGTCAGCAGAGACTCACTCCCTGCGAGGGGCCAGCGGGGGGTCCCAGTGCCTGGGGGACTCGAGCTGGGCCCTTTGCCAGCCCCTGCCCGGCCCCCTCCCCTGCGCTCTGGTGGGCAGGCGGGCGTCCGTTAGGGCAGCGCCTGGCACCAGGTGCCCCCTGCTGGGGGCTCTTCCTAACCATCAGCCTTTCACTGCCCCTGTGCCCCCAGGTCCTCGCCACGGGCCTCAGCGCCCTGTACTCCCTCTCTGCCCCGCAAGATCGAGGTGCGGGCGGACGACTGGCACAGCCTGCGTCGCGAGGACTGGATGGGTGTGCCCGCGCTTGTCCTCTTCATGAACTCGCTGGAGTTCTGCAACGCCGTCCTCCCAGGTGGGCAGGCCGCAGCCTGCGGGCACGCGCCAGGGGCTGCCCACCACCGTGCCCGGCACAGCCTGCCCTGCCCGCCCCGAGATCCCCCATCCTGCCCCCAGGGGCTGCCCAGCACCGTGCCCGGCACAGCCTGCCCTGCCCGCCCTGAGATCCCCCATCCTGCCCCCCGGGGGCTGCCCAGCTCCGTGCCCGGCACAGCCTGCCCTGCCTGCCCCGAGATCCCCCATCCTGCCCCCCGGGGGCTGCCCAGCACCGTGCCCGGCACAGCCTGCCCTGCCCGCCCCGAGATCCCCCATCCTGCCCCCCAGGGCTGCCCAGCACCGTGCCTGGCACAGCCTGCCCTGCCCGCCCGAGATCCCCCCATCCTGCCCGCCGGGCTGCCCAGCTCCGTGCCCGGCACAGCCTGCCCTGCCCGCCCCGAGATCCCCCATCCTGCCCGCCAGGGGCTGCCCAGCACCGTGCCCGGCACAGCCTGCCCTGCCCGCCCCGAGATCCCCCCATCCTGCCCCCCCGGGGGCTGCCCAGCTCCGTGCCCGGCACAGCCTGCCCTGCCCGCCCCGAGATCCCCCATCCTGCCCGCCGGGGGCTGCCCAGCACCGTGCCCGGCACAGCCTGCCCTGCCCGCCCCGAGATCCCCCATCCTGCCCCCCGGGGGCTGCCCAGCTCCGTGCCCGGCACAGCCTGTCCTGCCCGTCCCGAGATCCCCCATCCTGCCCCCCGGGGGCTGCCCAGCACCGTGCCCGGCACAGCCTGCCCTGCCCGCCCCGAGATCCCGCATTCTGCCCCCCGGGGGCTGCCCAGCTCCGTGCCCGGCACAGCCTGCCCTGCCCGCCCCGAGATCCCGCATTCTGCCCCCCGGGGGCTGCCCAGCTCCGTGCCCGGCACAGCCTGTCCTGCCCGCCCCGAGATCCCCCATCCTGCCCGCTGGGGGCTGCCCAGCACCGCCCTCTGCCACGCTGCGCCCTTCTCCTGGTGTGGAGTGGAGGCTGCAGCCTGGATCGCAGTGTCTGGCTGCACTGGGAGGGACCCAGGTGTCCTGCAGCCCCTGCTGCGGCCGGGCGCCCACGCTGAGCTCTGTGCTCTTGCAGGTGGCCCACCCGCTGGTGCAGAAGCAGCTGGTGAATTACGTCCACAACGGCTTCCTGGTGCCCGTCCTGGGCCCGGCCCTGCACAAGGTAGGGCAGAGCTGGGAATGGGTGGGCTGCTGGCGTGGGTAACGCACCCCGGCCTGGCTCCGCTGCTGTGGGGGGGTCTGGCAGAGCCTTGCCGTGGGGAGCAGGGGGGCTCGGCGGCTGAGCCCCGCAGCGGGGGGGGGGAACCTGGCGGCCGTGCCCTGCGGCGTCGGGGGTGGGGGGCCCCGGCGGCCGTGCCCTGCGGCGTCGGGGGTGGGGGGCCCCGGCGGCCGTGCCCTGCGGCGTGGGGGGTGGGGGGCCCCGGCGGCCGTGCCCTGCGGCGTGGGGGGGGGGGCCCCGGCGGCCGTGCCCTGCGGCGTGGGGGTGGGGGCCCCGGCGGCCGTGCCCCTGCGGCGTCGGGGGTGGGGGGCCCCGGCGGCCGTGCCCTGCGGCGTGGGGGTTGGGGGGCCCCGGCGGCCGTGCCCTGCGGCGTGGGGGTGGGGGGCCCCGGCGGCCGTGCCCTGCGGCGTGGGGGGTGGGGGGCCCTGGCGGCCGTGCCCTGCGGCGTGGGGCCCGGCTGAGCGGCTGTCCCGCAGGCGGCGGTGGAGGAGCTGGTGGCCAGCACGGCGTACCTGGAGCTGTTCCTGCGCAGCGTCAGCGACCCGGCCCTGCTCCGAACCTTCCTCCGCTTTCTCCTGCTTCACCGGCACGACCATAGCACCATCCTCGACACGCTCGTCGCCCGCATCGCCGCCAACTCCCGGGTACGGGCCCCCGCTCCCCCCCAGCGCCCCCCAGCGCCCCCCAGCGCTCCCCCCCCCAGCGCTCCCGGGTACGGGCCCCCGCTCCCCCCCAGCGCTCCCCCCAGCGCTCCCCCCCCCCAGCGCTCCCCGGGGACGGGCCCCCGCTCCCCCCCAGCGCTCCCGGGACGGGCCCCCGCTCCCCCCCAGCGCTCCCGGGGACGGGCCCCCGCTCCCCCCAGCGCTCCCGGGGACGGGCCCCCGCTCCCCCCAGCGCTCCCGGGGACGGGCCCCCGCTCCCCCCCAGCGCTCCCGGGGACGGGCCCCCGCTCCCCCCCCAGCGCTCCCGGGACGGGCCCCCGCTCCCCCCCCAGCGCTCCCGGGGACGGGCCCCCGCCTCCCCCCAGCGCTCCGGGGACGGGCCCCCGCTCCCCCCAGCGCTCCCGGGACGGGCCCTCCCCCCGCAGCTCCCTGTTCGGGGTTCCATGGGCCTGTCCCCCAAGGCTCAGCTCCCCCAGGGGATGTGCCGAGGGGCAGGAGCCAGCCTGGCCCGCCTACTGCCCGGCTAACACCTGCCTCTCCCCCAGCTCTGCATGGTGTCTCTGAGCCTCTTCCGCACTCTGCTCAACCTGAACTGCGAGGACGTGATGCTGCAGCTGGTGCTCAGGTGACCCGGCGTGTTGCGACCTGGCTTCCAGCCCAGGCTTCCCGTGACCCTAAGCAAAGCCCTGCCCCCCTCTGTGCCTCGGTTTCCCCATCTCTGCCGGGCGCTGCTGAAGGAGGGGCTAGAGCGTGCGGTGGCTCTCCAGCAGCGCCATGGCACCCCGGGCAGAGCGCTGGGCCCTGGCTCCCGGCTGGGCCCCTAGGGCTGCCGGAGCAGATCCTGGCCCAGGCTCGGACCAGCCAGGCCTAGTCCCACTCCAGCAGGCTGCTGCGTCTGTGGCTTGGCCCCATGGGGAGCCCCAGTGCTGTGGCAGGGCTGCTTCCTCCCAAAGCGCACAGGGACCCGGGCCCCCTCGCTCGCCAGCCCGGCTGACAGTCTGGCTGCTTGGTCCCGGCGTGGCTCCGGCTCCTACCTGAGGCCGGGGCAGCCTTCCCCAGAACCCTGGGGGGCCAGGGACCATAGGGGTCATTTCAGGGTGCGCAGTGGGCCTGGACCACCCCGGGGCTGGCATGTGGCTGGGGCTGGCAGGACGGAGGCCTTTGGGGGAGCCCTGGCCACATGCAGCTCAGCCTGGAGCTGGGGCTGCCCCAGGGCTGGTGGGCGGCATGTCCCGGGGCTATGCAGCTGGCACAGCCAGCGGCGTGGGGGGCCAGGGCAGTCTGAGGGGGCCCGGAGCTGGCCAAGGCCGGGGGCCCTGGAGAGCCCCCAAGCTCCTGTTGGTGCCCCCGAGCCCTTTGGGTCTGGTGGACAGGGCTGGAGGCGCTTCACCCGCGGGCACCTGGAGGGGAAGCTTGGAGCACAGCACCCCCTAGTGCCCACTCCTGGCATGGCTCTGCTCTGGCTGCCCAGGCAGCCTGGCCCTGGAGTGCCTGGGAACAGCGGGCGCGCTGCCCCCGATGGGCTGGGAGCGGAGCCAGGGTGAGCCTGGGGAAGCTGGAGGCAGTCTTGAGGCCTCTGCCCAGCCCTGGCGGGGAGCTGGCTCCCTGGCGGAGGGGGCCGGGCGGGGCCTGGTGTGACCGGGTTGCTCCCGTGCCCCCAGGTACCTGATCCCCTGCAGCCACGTCATGCTGAGCCAGAAGCGGGCGGTGAAGGACCTGGACATCTACGGCAAGTCGGCCGACAAGTTCCTGTCGCTAATCCCGCGGTGCTGCCGGGCCGAGAGCCTGCCCGCGCCCGACCGGGAGGAGGAGCACGCCACCTGGGCCAAAGGTGGGCCGCCCCTGGCCCTACCGGAGCCGCCCGGCACTGGGCCAGTCAGGCTTCCCCCGGGGAAGGGGGGCACCGTCACCCAGCAACTCGGGGGCCCCGGCGTGGTCTCTGGGGGTGCCTGTTGGCGGCTGGCACACGGGAGTCAGGTGGGCGGGAGGTGCTGTCTGGCCTCACCTGGGGCCGTGCCCCCACCCGGCTGTGCTTAGGGCGCCCAGCGGGTAGGTGTCCATTCCCCCAACCTGGGGCTGGAGTGCTCCGGGTTGGGGTCAGGCCCGCGGTAACGCTCCCTCTCGGCTCTCCCTTCGCAGCCCACGGGAGCCCCACCGTGGACACCTCCTCCGTGGTCACCGTGCCCAAGCCCTCCACGCCGTCCCGTCTCGCCTTCTTCATGCGCCAGCAGAGCTGCAGCTCGGAGGCGGGGAGCCCGGCGCCCCGCTCGCCCGGCCTGGCCACGCCCGGCGGGAGCCCCTGCCACCGCCCGGCCAGGTGGGAGGAGGTGGCGGAGCTGGACGGGAACTACCTGGAGTACCTGCGGGATGCGCAGCTCGGCGTGGAGCAGTGCGTGCGGGCCTGCCGCGTCTGGTCGGCCCCCTATGACGGGGAGCGGCCGAGTGCCGCCAGCCTGGCCCCCTCCCAGCCCGCCGGCCCCCCGGGCCCCGCCACCCCGCGCACGAAGAAGAGGGGCCTGGCAGAGGAGAGGGTGGGGCTGGCCGGGGCCCCCAGCAGCAGTGAGCCCAGCGCTGGCCCCTCCACGCCCGACGTCGAGGACTCAACCCCGCTCCTCAACGGGGCCCCTAGGGTGGAGTCGAGCCGGGCCGGCAGGCCAGCCGGGGCCGTGGCGGTGAAGAAGGTGCGCCGGGGTCCCCCCTCTGCCAGCTCGGAGCGGAGAGGGCTCAAGGCCGAGGCGGAGAACGGCTCCCCCACCGCCCCGGCCCCGGCTCCGGCCCCGGCCTGGGAGCAGCCGTCCGTGGACTCCCTGATCGACGAGCTGCTGGCCCGGGCCCCCAGCGAGCCCAACGGCGCCAGCCTGAGCATCGAGAGCTTCTCGCGGGAGCTGCGGGAGCTGGAGGCTGAGCTGCAGAGCGGAGCTGAGCAGCCCCCCACCTCGCCCGCCGAGCCCCTCTCCCAGGAGGAGGAGGAGGCCTACGAGCGGTTCGCCTCGCCCCCCGAGCGCCCGGTTCTGGCCGCCTCCGGGGGGGCCCCGGGCCCCCGGGCCCAACTCGTCAGCAGCCCCCTGTGTGCCCTAGGACAGCCGCCCAGCCAGCCCTTCACAGGTGAGTGTGGGCGGGGGAGCCCCTGGCCCAGCCAGCCGGCACCCGGCCTTCCCGGGGCGCCCACACCAGGGCATATCCCGGGTCCCAACGCCAGCCACCCGAGCCAGGGACACCTAGCTAATGGCCTTCGATGGACCTGCCCCGTCGCATCTGGGCCCAGGGCGGGGACTGGCTGGGGGGGGAGCGGGGCACTGGCTTCATGAAGCTCCCTCCTCTCTACTGAGAAGAGGAAGAGTGAGTGGGGGGCTGGAGGGCGGGACAGGGGCTAGAGCCTCCAGTGGGCAGAGTGGGGGCCGGTGTGGGGTGGGGGCTGGTGCCCCACTGGGAAGGGCAGAGTGGGGCTGGTGGGCAGGACAGGGTGGAGGCTGGCACCCAGTGGGCAGCGCACAGGGGAGGTGACGCCGCTCCCCGCGCAGGTCCCTTCGTGGCCGTGCTGCTGGCCAAGCTGGAGAACATGGTGCAGAACTCGCTGTATGTGAACGTGCTGGTGACGGGGCTGGTGGCCCGACTCGCCTGCTACCCGCAGCCCCTGCTCCGCTCCTTCCTGCTCAACACCAACATGGTTTTCCAGCCCAGCGTCAAGTCCCTGCTGCAGGTACGGCCCGGGGCGTCTGCCTGTGCCAGCCGGGGGGTGACGGCAGCCTGGGCATGGCCCCTGCCCGCTCGGCCTGGTTGGCAGCTCCTGTCCCCTCTGGGCCTCTCAGCTCGGTGGCACAGCAGTGACCCACGGGCGGGGGTGCCCAGATTGCTGGGGGGGGTCACAGGGTTCAGGCTGAGCCAGCAGGGAGCCCTGGCCCCAGGCCTGCATGCTCTGGGGTCCCCCTACGCTGCCCCTTGGCACCTCGGCAGCTCCCCTGCAGCCTGGCCGGGCCCCCTGCCCTCGGTGGGCACTGACCCACCTGCCTTGCAGGTCCTGGGCTCGGTGAAGAACAAGATCGAGAGCTTCGCCGCCAGGCAGGAGGACTTCCCCACCCTGCTCTTCAAAGCCCGCAAGTACCTGCTCGCCCGCGGCCAGCTGGACTGGGCCGACGCCCCGAATGCCGCGCCTGCCCTGCGCCGCTCGGAGACGCTGGGTAGGGCCAGGGGCACGGGGGGAGGGGCCCTGGCAGGGGGCTGCCGCCTGCTTCGGGCCTGCCTGGCACCGCGCTCAGCCTGCATGTAGCAGGGTGTCCTGGAGTCCCCGGGCGACGCTCTGGAACGGTGTCGCGGAGTGTGGGGGAGTCCAGGCCCTGCACCCCTCTTCCTGGGATCCACTGAGACTCTCAGCCAGCCAGTAAAACAGAAGGTTTATTGGACAACAGGAACACAGTCCACAACAGAGCTTGTGGGTACAACCAGGACCCCTCGATCACGTCCTTCTGGGGGAGCAGGGAGCTTAGACCCCAGCCCTGGGGTTCCCTGTGTTCCTCTCCCCAGCCTCCAAACTGCCAACTACCCCCACCCAGCAGGTTCCCTGCTGCAGCCTCTGTTCACATTCCCGGGCAGAGGTGTTACCTCCCCCCTCCCCCTCCTGGCTCAGGTGACAGGCTCTCAGGTCTCCCATCCCCAGGGCACATTCCCAGGTCAACACTCCCCCTCCCTGCTGAGTCACTTCGTCACATCTCTCCCCCCCTTCGAGACTGAACTGAGCGGGGTCACTGTGACCAGTGACCTGGGGAAGTTCGGGGCCCCCTCTCCGGGACAGCGCATCCGCTATCAGGTTGGCACTTCCCTTCACGTGGACCACGTCCATGTCGTAATCCTGCAGGAGCAGGCTCCATCTCAGGAGCTTGGCGTTGGCTCCTTTCATCTGGTGCAGCCAGGTCAGGGGAGAGTGGTCGGTGTACACGGTGAAGTGCCGCCCGAAGAGATAGGGCTCTAGTTTCTTGAGGGCCCACACCATGGCCAGGCACTCCTTCTCGATGGCCGCGTAGTGTTGCTCCCGGGGTAGCAACTTCTTGCTCAGGTACACGATGGGGTGTCTCTCCCCCCTTTTCATCCTCCTGCATTAACACCGCCCCCAGTCCCGTGTCGGAGGCGTCGGTGAACACCACAAAGGCCTTGTCAAAGTCCGGGTTCGCCAGAACTGGGCCACTGACCAGAGCCTCCTTCAGCGCCCGGAAAGCCACCTGGCACTGCTCGGTCCAGACCACCTTGTCTGGCTTCCCCTTCTTGCATAGCTCAGTGATGGGGGTGGCTATGGCGCTAAAGTGGGGCACAAATCTTCGGTAGTATCCTGCCATCCCAATAAAGGCTTGGACCTGCTTTTTGGTGTGGGGAGCGGGCCAGTCTCTGATCACCTCCACCTTGGCTGGTTCCGGCTTTAGGCGGCCGCTCCCCACCCGATGGCCCAGGTAAGACACTTCCGCCATCCCCACCTTGCACTTCTCCGCTTTTACAGTCAGCCCAGCCCCCTGGAGTCGGTCCAGCACTTGTCTAACCTGGGACACGTGGTCCTCCCAGGTCTGGCTAAAGACACAGATGTCATCAATATACGCCACGGCAAAACTCTCCATCCCCCTCAGGAGCTGGTCCACCAGGCGTTGGAAGGTGGCCGGCGCTCCCTTGAGGCCGAAAGGCAGGGTCAGGAACTCATAGAGCCCCAGAGGGGTGATAAAGGCCGATTTCAGTCGGGCATCTGCATCCAGCGGCACTTGCCAGTAGCCCTTTGTAAGGTCCATGGTGGTAAGGTACCGAGCTCCTCCCAGTTTGTCTAGGAGCTCGTCCGGCCTGGGCATGGGGTAGGCATCAGATACAGTGATGGCATTGAGCTTCCGATAGTCCACGCAGAACCGGACCGACCCGTCCTTTTTGGGGACCAGCACCACCGGCGAGGCCCAAGGGCTGGCAGATGGCTGGATCACCCCCAAAGCCAGCATGTCCCGGACCTCTCTTTCCAGGTCCTGAGCAGTTTTCCCTGTGACTCGGAAGGGGGAGCATCTTATCGGCGGGTGCGACCCTGTCTGCACCCGGTGGACAGTCAGATTAGTGCGTCCAGGCTGGTTGGAAAACAGCTGTCGGTACGGATGCAGCACCCCCCTGACCTCAGCTTGCTGGGCAGGGGTTAGCTGATCCGAGAGGGGGATTGTTTCCAGGGGGGAACCAGCTCTGGTCCCAGGGAATAGATCTACTAAAGGGTCATCTCCCTGCTCTTCCCACTGTCCACACACGGCCAACACCACATTCCCCCTGGCATAATATGGCTTCATCATATTCACATGGTACACCCGGCGGTGGTGCGCCCGGTTCGACAGCTCCACCACATAGTTTACCTCATTGAGCTGCTTGACGACCTTGAAAGGGCCCTCCCAGGCGGCCTGTAGTTTGTTCTTTCTCACAGGGATGAGAACCATCACCGGATCCCCGGTGGCGTAGGCACGGGCCCTTGCCGTGCGGTCATACCAGACCTTCTGCTTCTTCTGGGCTCTGGCCAGATTCTCCCTGGCCAGGCCCATGAGTTCAGCCAGTCTCTCTCGGAAGATCAGGACATACTCCACCACTGACTCTCCATCGGGAGTGGCCTTCCCCCTCCCACTCGTCTCTCATCAGGTCCAGGGGGCCCCTCACCCTCCTTCCATATAACAGTTCGAAAGGCGAAAATCCGGTAGACTCCTGGGGCACCTCCCTGTACGCGAACAGCAGGTGAGGTAAGTACTTGTCCCAATCCTGCGGGTGCTGGTTCATAAAGGTTTTCAGCATCATCTTTAGCGTCCCGTTAAACCTCTCCACCAGCCCGTTGGACTGGGGGTGATAAGCTGAGGCCCAGTCGTGCCGGACCCCACATTTCTCCCACAAGCACCGGAGCAGGGCCGACATGAAGTTGGAGCCTTGGTCTGTCAAGACTTCCTTGGGGAACCCCACTCGGCTGAAAATGGTCAGGAGCGCATCGGCCACGGTGTCTGCTTCAATGGAAGCTAAGGGCACTGCCTCGGGGTAGCGGGTGGCAAAATCTACCACCACCAGAATGTATTTCTTCCCCGACCGGGTCGTCTTGCTGAGAGGCCCCACGATGTCCATGGCCACCTTCTGGAAAGGCTCCTCTATGATGGGCAAAGGTCTCAAAGCCGCTTTCCCCTTGTCCCGGGCCTTCCCCACCCTCTGACAGGGGTCACAGGATCGGCAATACTGCCGGACCGTGGTAAAGACCCCGGGCCAGTAAAAGTTCTGTAGCAACCTCTGCCGGGTGCGCCGGATTCCCTGGTGCCCTGCGAGGGGGATGTCATGGGCCAGGTACAGGAGCTTGCGGCGATACTTCTGGGGGACCACCAGCTGCCTCCTGATCCCACAGGACTCTACTTCCCTTGTGGGAGCCCATTCTCGGTACAGGAACCCCTTCTCCCACAGGAACCTCTCCTGGCAGCCTCTCCTCATGGTCCGTACCACACCGAGGTCGGCCAGGTCCCTGAGCTTCCGCAAGGAGGGATCTTTCCTCAACTCGGCCTGGAACTCAGCAGCTGGGGAAGGGATGGGGACCGGTTCCCCCTCAGTGGCCAGGTCTGAGGCCTCAGCCTCTCTGAGCCGTGCCCCTCGGCCCTCCCTTCCCACCAGGGTAGGGTCCTGCGCCTCCGGTGCGGTACCCTCCCCGAGGTCAGGGAGCAGTGGCCCTCGCCGGCTCTGGCTACGGGTCACAACCAGGGCGGTCTGGGGCTTGCTTGGCCAGTCCTCTAGGTCTCCCCCCATCAAAACTTCAGTGGGCAAATGGTGGTGTACCCCCACATCCTTGGGGCCCTCCTTGGCCCCCCATTTCAGGTGTACCCTTGCCACGGGCACCTTAAATGGGGTCCCGCCCACCCCTGTCAGGGTCAGGTAGGTGTTGGGCACCACCCGATCTGGGGCCACCACCTCGGGCCGGGCCAGCGTCACCTCCGCGCCCGTATCCCAGTATCCATTGACCTTCCTCCCATCCACCTCCAGGGGAACAAGGCACTCTCTCCGGAGGGACAGCCCCGCGCCCACCCTGTAAACTGAGCGCCCTGAGTCCAGAGCCTCCAGCCCTCTGGTGGAGCTGGCCTGGGGTACTCTTCCCTCCTGAGCAGGTGGTAAACTGGTAGGCCCCCTTTCCTGGGTCGTCTGCCCCTCGTCCAGCTGGGTCCCTACCCAATTAACCCTGGGTAGGTTGGGTCTGCTCAGTTTGTCCCTGAGCCCAGGGCACTGGGACCGTATGTGGCCTCTCTGGCCACAGTGATAGCAGCTCAGGTCACGTTGGTCCCCTCGAGCGGGTCGGAGGGGCCCGACGCCAGGCGTTCCCCTTGGGAGGGGGTTCTCCCTATTTCCCCGCTGGGAGGCCCCCTGGTGACTCTCTCTCTGCATCGGGGGGGGCCTGTTCTTTTGGGACTCCTCCCGGCTACCCCCTGACCGACTGTTCACAAACTCGTCGGCCAGCTGCCCTGCGTGCTGGGGGTTCTCGAGCTTTTTGTCCACCAACCACAGCCTCAGGTCGGAAGGGCACTGTTCATACAGTTGCTCCAGTACAATTAGGTCAAGCAGGTCCTCTTTAGCTCGGGCCCCAGCTGTCCACTTGCGGGCATACCCCTGCATCCGGTTGGCCAGTTGTAGGTAGGTGACCTCAGGCGTTTTACGCTGACTCCGGAACCTTCTCCGGTACATCTCGGGGGTCAGCCCAAACTCACGGAGCAGGGCCTGTTTGAACAGTTCATAGTCCCCTGCCTCCGGCCCTGTCATCCGGCTGTACACCTCCACGGCTTTGGGGTCCAGTAAGGGGGTGAGAAACTGGAGCCTGTCTGCAGGGTCAACCCTGTGCAGCTCACAGGCATTCTCAAAGGCCGTCAGGAAGCTATCTATGTCCTCCCCCTCCTTCCGCTGGGCCAGGAAGCACTTATCAAAGTTCCTTGCAGTCTTGGGTCCCCCCTCATTCACCACAGCCGGGGCCCCACTGCTCTTCAGCCTGGCCAGCTCCAGTTCATGCTGTCTTTGTTTCTCCTTCTCCTGACGTTCCCTCTCCTTCTCCTGACGCTCCCTCTCCTTCTCCTCCTGCTCATGTTGACGTTGTTTCTCCTCATGTTGACGTTGTTTTTCATGATCCTCCAGCTCCCTCATTTTCATCTCCCTCTCCCATTCCAGCCGCCTCCGCTCCAGGGATGGGGAGCTCCGCCGGGAGGATCCCCTGCTGGGTGCTGGGGTCAGGGTGCCCTCGGTATTCGCTGGGCTTCCCCCGAACCCCCTCCCCCAGGCATAGGTAGGAAGGGTCTCGGGATGTCCTCGGCAGCAGTCTGACCCCTCCCAGCCCGGTCAGGCCCCGGGGCCCACGCTGCGTCTGCCGGGCGGCTCCCCTCAGGGACAGGGATCGGGTCATCCAAGCGATCCCTCTCCTCCAACTGGGCAATCAGTTGTTCCTTGGTGGACCTCCCGATGCGCAGCCCCCTCTGCCTGCACAGCTCCACCAGGTCACTCTTAAGGCGTTTAGCGTACATCTCCCTGCTGGCCACTCGCAGGCCGGGCAGCTTCCCACGGTTTCCAGGAAAAGCCCTTAGTGTGCCAGTCCTTCTTGAGGTCACCACCTCTTTGCCAGGGTCGAGCTGCAGACTCCTCCGCCCCTGGGACCGCTCGCTGCAATCCCCGGGGGACCCTGTTACTGCAAAAGTCTTTCTCTCTGGTCACACATTCCCAGGGGTTAGCCGCCCCCGAAACCGTCTCTCTCTGAATCTTCAGCACGCCTGGTCCCCCGTCAATTCCCCTTCGTTTTACTGTTCCCCAGTCACTTACTGCAGGAAGCGCCGTTCACGGGGTGCAGTAGATCCCACCGCTGCCACCAGTTGTCGCGGAGTGTGGGGGAGTCCAGGCCCTGCACCCCTCTTCCTGGGATCCACTGAGACTCTCAGCCAGCCAGTAAAACAGAAGGTTTATTGGACAACAGGAACACAGTCCACAACAGAGCTTGTGGGTACAACCAGGACCCCTCGATCACGTCCTTCTGGGGGAGCAGGGAGCTTAGACCCCAGCCCTGGGGTTCCCTGTGTTCCTCTCCCCAGCCTCCAAACTGCCAACTACCCCCACCCAGCAGGTTCCCTGCTGCAGCCTCTGTTCACATTCCCGGGCAGAGGTGTTACCTCCCCTCCCCTCCTCCTGGCTCAGGTGACAGGCTCTCAGGTCTCCCATCCCCAGGGCACATTCCCAGGTCAACACTCCCCCCTCCCTGCTGAGTCACTTCGTCACAAACGGCTCCCTGCGGAGCCAGGCAGGGCTCGGGGAGCCTCCTCTCCCCAGTGCAAGAAGCTCACACAACTTCCACCATCCTGGGGCTGACCTCGGAGATTCAGCATCCCCCGTCCACACCGTGCACTTCCCACCGCGAGTCCGCCCAGGCGGGGGTCCTGGGGGGCCAGAGGGCCCTGCCCCCCCAACTCCGCAGTCAGACGTGATTCTCAGCCAGCCAGTAAAACAGAAGGTTTATTACACGACAGGAACATGGTCCAAACTGGAGTTTGTAGGTACAGAGACCAGGACTCCTCAGTCAGGTTTGTCTTGGGGGTAGGGAGCCCAGAGCCCCATCTGGGCCTCCCCTCTATTTCCCCAGCCAGCTCCAAACTGAAACTCTCTAGCCCCTCCTCTGGCCTTTGTCTCTCTCCCGGGCCAGGGAGGCCACCTGATCTCTCTGTTCTCCAACCTCTAACCTTTGCAGAGGAGGGGCCCAGGCCACCAGTGGCCAGGAAACAGGGTGTCGGCCATTCTCTGTGCAGATGGCATCACACCTGCCCTCTCGGGCTCTGCAACAATCACACACCCTGATCCCACCACCTAGAGACTTAAGAACTGCCTAGGGGAAACTGAGGCACCCCCACAGTATTCAGAGAGAACATTAAGAACATTCCCACTTCATCACAGAGGGCTGCCAAGCGGGCCCTGCCTCCGGCCGCTGTGCCCCCCAGTGCCCTCGCCTGCTTTCGGGACAGTCCCTGGCAGGCCCCCTGCAGGCGTCAGCCCCCTCTGGGTCACACTCGCCGTGGTCAGCCCCTCGGCTCCCCCCCTCCTGGGACCGACCCTCGGAGCCCCCAGCTCACGCCGGGAGCTCCCTCGGCAAGTCCCCCTGGGTGGGACCCCTGTGGGAGACTTGTACCCCAAGGGAGCCAGGCACCCCCCTGCCTGACTCTGCAGTGACTCAGCCAGCAGGAAACAGCAGGGGGGTGCCTGGGGGTCTGGACCCAGCGCAGAGAGTTAGAGCCTGGGCCAGCTGGGTCGGATCAGAGCCCAGAGCCCCCCAGCCCTTCTGTAATCCCTGTCCAGGAGTGTGTGTCCAGCTGCCCACACTAGTCATAACCAGGGCCCCTCATGTCTTCTGGGCTTATCATGGGTGCGGGGCCCTGGCCCGCCTGGTGTCAGTCACACCCGGGTCCCTACGAAGAATAACCACCTCCCCCAGTAGCCAGGCAGCGCATGGGGGACACTGAGGCACACACAGCATTTCCCTGTGCTCTCTGCCCCCCGGGAGCCGGGCCCGGCTGACTCCGCTCTCTGCCCGCAGTGAAGAGCCGGAAGCCGTCCATCGGGGAGCTGATCCTGCGGCATGCCAACAGCCCGACGCGGGCGCGGCAGGCGGCCCAGCTGGCCCTGCAGCAGGTGCGGGAGGCGCCGGTGGGCGCAGAGAAGCAGAGCGAGGCGCTGCGGGTGAGGAACGCCGTGTACAGCGCCGTGATCTTCAGCGAGTTCCTCAAGGAGCTGGCGGCCATTGCCCAGGCCCATGGGGTCACCTCGCCCTTCCTGCTGGAGCCTGAGGAGTGAGGGGCGCTGGGCCGCACCCCCTGCCCACCGGCCCCGTCCTCCCGCTGGCCGGGCGCTGCCGGGACTCGCCTTTTTAACCTGCCCTCGGGACACGGACCTTAATTTATTGGGGGTGCGGGGGGGAGGGAGGGGCTGCACTGTGGATAAAGGAGAGTGTCCCTCTGACTGGTGTGTGTGTGCAGGGCCCCCGCGACCTCCGGGCTGTCCCCACTGTCCCCTGCCCTTCAGCTGCTCCTGTGATCCCCAGCCCCACGGGCTGCCCCCTGCGACCCCCTGCCCAGCGGGCTGCCCCCCATCTACCCCCACAACCCCCTGCCCTTCAGCTGCCCCCTGCCCCCCAGGCTGCCACCCACAACCCCCTGCTGCAGGCTGCCCCCCCATCTACCCCCATGACCCCCTGCCTTCAGCTGCCCCCTGCTCTGCGGGCTGCCTCCCCACAACCTCCTGCTACAGGCTGCTCTCTCATCTACCCCACGACTCCCTGCCCCACAGGCTGCTCCCCCACTGCCCCTCATGATCCCCTGCTACTGGCAGCCCCCTCTGTCTACTACCATGACCTGCAGCCTTTTGGCTGCCCCCCATGACCCCCTGTCTCGCAAAGGGCCTGGCAACTTAGAAAGGGACCCAGAAGAGCGGCAGGAGCATTGGGGGCTGGATCCTGCTTGGCAGTGGGGGGTGCTCTGTGCCCAGGCCTGGTCTGCCCAGTGAAGGCTAAGGGGTGCTGGGTCACCGGCTAAAGGTTCCTGATTCCTGCGGGCAGCTGGCAGTGCAGGCCAAGGCAGGGCGAGTCCCAGTGGGATTGTGTGGGGCAGGGTCAGCTCAGCCCCCTCACCCTTCATCTCCGCTGCCCACCCTGTGGCAAGGTGCCTGGCTGGGCCCTGCGCTGCCCGCCGTCTGCTCCCCCCGCCTCAGGCTTTCACTCCCCCGCCAGGGGGACCACGAGGAGAGGCTCAGGACTCTTGGGTTCTTCTTCAAGGGCTTGCTCATATCGATTCCAATTCGGTGTGCGCGCCGCGTGCACGATCATCGGAGAATTTTTACCCTAGCAGCACCCGGTGGGTCGGCCGTGGAGCCCCCTGGCGTGGCGCCTTCATGGCGTTGGATGTATGCCCCAGCCGGCCCAGCGCCCCCTCAGTTCCTTCTTGCCGCCCGGGACGGCCGTTGGAACTGTGCAGCGCGGCGTAGCTGTCCTCCACTCCCCCTAGCTTTCCCCTTCCCTTTCTTCGGCAGTTCTCATAGTTGCAGCACTTGTTATAGAGATAGTGATAAGTTTAGACTTAATTTAGTGGGTTGGAAGGGGTCCTTCCCCTCCTCCCTGCCCGCCGCTTGGGCTCATGCCCAAGGCTCCGGGTTTCAAGCCTTGCTCAGCCTGCCAACGGGAGACCCCCACGACTCCTGTTTGAAGTGCCTCGGGGGGTCTCACCAGGCTGACAAGTGTAGGATCTTTACGGCGTTCAGACCTCGGTCCAAAAAGGAGCAGGACTTTAGACTCAAGCAGCTCCTTACGGAGGCGGCCCTTAGCCCGGGCCCTCCATCGGCGCGCCAAGTCCCGGCACCGGGCGCTTCGGTGCGCAGCGCCCCGGCGGCAGCATCAGGTACTGCACCACGGTTGGACTCTGAGAGAGGCCCACGGCACCGGACCTCTCCGGCAGCACAGCCGGTACAAGTGACCCGGCGCCGTTCTCTGCCTCCGGGCCAGAAGAGACCGCGCAAGCCGGAGACGACTGTCCCACCTCAGCAGTCGCCGGCACCTCCCATACCAGCCTCGGAGTCGCGTCCAGCGCCGGAGCGACCGATATCGGCGCCGTTGACTCTGGCACCGAGAGAGGAGCTGTTGAGTCCGGTGCACACAGGCTCCCCGACCCGGACCGTGGTTGAGCCCCAGCTTCCGTCAACGCCGGAGACGTTCGCAGCGGCGCGAGAGCTCATCGCCCTCACAGAGCCGGCATCATCGCAGACCATTGCACCGCCTCTGACTCGTGCGGTACCGTCTAGGGGCAAGCCAACCCTAATACGTCCGCCATCTCCGCGCGTGCAAACACGGCACCGCTCCCGCAGGCGGTCGTCGTCATGGTCCAGATCTGGATACAGGAACCAGCCTGGTCATCGGCACCGATCTCAATCCCAGCACCACTCTCCAGCGACCCGGTACCGATCCACACCATGCCCCGGAGAGTCGACGCAGGCACGCTCCTCACCACCTTGGCCCTCGCGCTCTGCCTCACGGTCGTCACAGTCCAAGGGCGGCTCGCGCTCAGCCTACCCTGCTCCAAGCCACGGCGAGGGTGATGTGGGTCACTGGCAGGAGGAAGGCCTAGACCCTAATCAGGAGCTTTCACAATGGTCCTTCTGGACCCGTGGGCGTACCACCAAGCCCAAGGAGTGCCGTCAGGGGCCTCCCGCTCAGCCCACTGAGAACCCCAGGTACCAGAGGCCACCATAAGTCGTTCTCCTCCGTGGGGTAGGGAAGCAACTGCACTTACCCTAGCGCAGGCCCCAGACCCCAGTGTAGCGGGTCCTGGGCAACAGGACCCTTCACAGCAGGTTCTGCCACAGGATCCCCTGGCCCCTGTGGCATCCTTCTCGTCCTCTCCAGAAGAGGCAGCGGCAGGGACAACAATCTCGGGTCCTCCCCCGATAGACCTTCGTGCCCACCAAGACCTTCTACGTAGGGTGGCACGTAATATGAACCTCCCAGCTGAGGAGGTAGTGGAGTTGGAGGACTCAGTGGTGGACATCCTTTCAGCGGAGGCCCCATCCCGAGTGGCTTTGCCCATTATCTGCACCATCCAGACCAATGGCAAGACAATCTGGCAAACCCCTGCCTCCATCCCACCGACGGCCAGAGGAGTGGAGAGGAAATACTTTGTCCCCTCCAAGTATCTTTATACTCACTCTCAGCCCTGTTCACTAGTGGTGGCCTCGGTGAACGAAAGGGAGCGGCATGGTCAACAGGCTCTGGCACCCAAATCGAAAGACGCCAGACGTCTCGATTTGTTTGGGCGCAAGATTTACTCCTCAGGGGGGCTACAGCTCAGGGTCGTGAACCAACAGGTGCTCCTGGCCGTTATGACTATAATTCATGGAGCTCCTTGTTGAAATTTAAGGAGTTAGTTCCTCAGGAGTCCAGGGCTGAGTTTGGGGCCTTAGTGGAAGAGGGCAAAAAGGGGGCTAGGACCTCCTTGCCGGCCTCCTTAGATGTGGTAGATGCTGCGGCTAGGACCCTTGCATCAGGCACAGCCATGCGACACATCCCGTGGCTGCAGGTATCTGGCCTGCCACCAGAGCTACAACAGACCCTGCAGGACCTTCCATTTGATGGGCAGGGCCTGTTTTCGGACAAAACGGACTCTAGACTACAGAGCCTGAAAGATTCCAGGGCTACCATGCGCTCCCTGGGAATGCACACGCCAGTTACCCAGCGCAGACCCTTCGAGCCGCAGCCTCAACGGTCCTACCCCCCCATCCTCAACCGAGGCAGGACTTCTATAGATGGTGCGGGCGAGGAGGTAGGAAGAGATCTGCCGGCCACCAACCCGGTCAGAATCGGGGCCCTCCCAAACCACCGGCGGGGCCTAAGCAAAACTTTTGAAGGTGCGCCCGACCATCCAGGATCTTTCCCCTCCATTTCGAAATCGTCTCTCCTATTTCCACTGTGCGTGGTGCCGTATAACTTCAGACCACTGGGTTCTTCGCACGGTGGAAAAGGGATATTCTCTTCAGTTTTCTTTCTCCCCTCCCTCCCAATCCCTCTTCAGGGACCCTTCTCACAAGCAACTCCTTACAAGTCCTCCTTTTCTTTTTGTGGATACAGACTAACACGGCTGCTACTCTGAAACAGGCGGTCCAAATGCTCCTGACCATGGGAGCGATCGAGGAGGTTCCAAGGGAGCCTAAAGGGCAGGGGTTTTTACTCCCATTACTTCCTAATCCCCAAGGCCAAGGGCGGGCTTCGACCCATCCTAGATCTGCGCAGACTCAACAAATTCATGGTAAAGTTGAAGTTCTGCATAGTTTAACTGGGGACCATTAGTCCTTCCCTGGATCCTGGAGACTGGTACGCTGCCCTCGACATGAAGGACGCGTACTTCCACATAGCAATTCATCCAGCGCACAGATGTTTCCTTCGCTTTGTGGTCAATCACGAACACTACCAATTTACTGTCCTTCCCTTCGGCCTGTCCACGGCTCCCAGGGTGTTCACCAAGCATGTGGCCATTGTGGCAGCCTCCCTTCATCAACAGTGGATCCAAGTGTTTCCGTATCTCGACGACTGGCTTATTCGGGGCCGCACCAGGGACCAAGTACAATCCCACGTTCGACTTACCACAGACATGTTCCATCAGCTGGGCCTCCTGCTCAACACCGAAAAGTTGACTCTGGAACCAACCCAGAGAATAGAGTTTATTGGGGCAGTCATAGAATCATAGAATATCAGGTTTGGAAGGGACCTCAGGAGGTCATCTAGTCCAACCCCCTGCTCAAAGCAGGACCCATCCCCAACTAAATCATCCCAGCCAGGGCTTTGTCAAGCCAGGCCTTAAAAACCTCTAAGGAAGGAGATTCCACCACCTCCCTAGGTAACGCATTCCAGTGTTTCACCACCCTCCTAGTGAAAAAGGTTTTCCTAATATCCAACCTAAACCTCCCCCACTGCAACTTGAGACCATTACTCCTTGTCCTGTCCTCTTCTACCACTGAGAACTGTCTAGATCCATCCTCTTTGGAACCCCCTTTCAGGTAGTTGAAAGCAGCTATCAGATCCCCCCTCGTTCTTCTCTTCCGCAGGCTAAACAATCCCAGTTCCCTCAGCCTCTCATAACTCATGTGCTCCAGTCCCCTAATCATTTTTGTTGCCCTCCGCGGGACTCTTTCCAATTTTTCCACATCCTTCCTGTAGTGTGGGGCCCAAAACTGGACACAGTACTCCAGATGAGGCCTCACCAGTGTCGAATAGAGGGGAACGATCACGTCCCTCGATCGGCTGGCAGTGCCCCTACTTATACATCCCAAAATGCCATTGGCCTTCTTGGCAACAAGGGCACACTGTTGACTCCTATCCAGCTTCTCGTCCACTGTAACCCCTCGGTCCTTTTCCGCAGAACTGCTGCCGAGCCATTCGGTCCCTAGTCTGTAGCTGTGCATTGGGTTCTTTCGTCCTAAGT